TTAAGCCTCAAGTTGCAATACTGAAAGATTCTATGGGAAAAATATTGAATGATGCAGGAAACATCAAAGAAGATGAAAGGAATACACAGACTCACTGTACCAAAAAGAACTGGTAGATCTTCATCCATTTCAGGAGCTGGCATATGATCTGGAACTAATGGTAATGAAGGAAGAAGTCGAACCTGCACTGAAGGAATTGGTGAAAAACAAGTCTCCAGGAATTGACGGAATACCCTTTGTTTCAACAAATGGATGCTCCACTGGAGGCACTCACTCGGTTATACCAAGAGATTTAGAAAGACAGCTACCTGGCCAACTGACTGGAAAAGATCCATATTTGTACCCATTTCAAAGAAAGGTGGTCCCATAGAATGTGGAAATTATCTAACAATATCATTAATATTGCATGCAAGTAAAATCTTACTGAAGATAATTCAAAAACATTTGCAGAAGTATATTGACAGAGAACTTCCAGAGATGCAAGTTGGATTCAGAAGAGGACGTGGAACAAGGGATATCATAGTGGCTGTCAGATGAATCTTGGCTCAAGGCAAAGGATACCAGAAAGATGTTTACTTGTGTTTTATTGACTATGAAAAGGCATTTGATTGTGTGGATCATGACAAATTGTGGATAACATTGGGAAGAATGGGAATTCCCAAACACTTAATTGAACTCATGAGGAACCTGTACATAGATGAGGAGGCTGTCATTCAGACAGAACAAGGGGACACTGCACGGTTTAAAATCAAGAAGGGTGTGTGTCAGGGTTGTATCCTTTCACCACACTTATTCAATCTATATGCTGAGCAAATAATTCAAGGAGCTGAACTATATGAAGAAGAACATGGCATCAAGATTGGAGGAAGAATCATTAACAACCTGCAATATGCTGATGATACAGCTTTGCTTGCTAAAAGTGAAGATGACTTGAAGCACTTACTAATGGAGATTGAAGAATACAGTCTGCAGTATGCATTACATCTCAATATTAAGAAAACAAAAATCCTCACAACCAGACCTATAAGCAGCATCACAATAAATCGAGAAAAGATTGAAGTTGTCAAAAACTTCACATTGTTTGGTTCTACGATTGACACCAATGAGAGCAGCATTCAGGACATCAGACTACGTACAGCACTGGACAAGTCAGCTGCAAAGGATCTCTTTCAAGTGCTGAGGAGCAAAAATGTCTCCTTGAGGACTAAGGAGTGCCTGACACAAGCCATGATATTTTCAATTGCCTCATATGCATGGAGGAGCTCTGGTAGCATAGTGGCTAAGACACTTACCTGCTAACCAGATGGCTGGCGGTTCAGACCCACCAGCCACTCCTCGGAAGGAAGGTTGGACAATCCTACTTCCGTAGTGATACTGCCTCGGAAACCCAAGGAGGGGTCGCTATGAGTCGGGGCCAACTCGATGGCACATAACAACAACAACAACATATGCATGGGAGAGCTGGACAATGAATAAGAAAGACCAAAGAAGAAATGATGCTTTTGAGTTTTGTGTTGGCGAAGAATGCTGAAAGTATCACGAACTGCTAAAAGAACTAACAGACCTGTCCTGGAGGAAGTGCAGCCAGAATGCTCCTTGGAAGCAAGAATGGCCAGACTTCCTCTCACCTACTTTGGTCATGTTATCAGAACAGACCATTCCCTGGAGAAAGATATCATGCTTGGTAAGGTGGAGGGTCAATGAAAGAGGGGAAGGCCCTCAATGAGATGGATTGACACAGTGGCTGTGGCGATGGGCTCAAGTATAGCAAGGATCATGGAGAGCTGGTGCAGGACCTGGCAGTGTTTCATTCTGTTGTGCATAGGGTCGCTATGAGTCAGAGATGGCTCCACAGCACCTAACAACAACAACATTATATTAGCCAAAGTGAACTACAATCAGGATTTATTTTAAACTATGGCAGTAGGAGTAGAGAAGAGGGACCTAACTGAGAAAATTTCTGACATAAAGTAAGCAACATTTTTTCAGAAGTTTAGAGCAAGGAGGACATGGAAATAGAAAGGAGAGTCATCAAACATGAATCCAAATTTCTATCAGTTGGAAACTGACGGGTGATTGGCACCATTAACCAAGGAGACAGTGCTAAGGTTTAGACCAGGGTGGTGATGAGAGAATGGAAAGTAAAGGATATACGGTTAAAATATTTTTTCTTATGGTTTCAAGTCTGTATTGCAAACATGTTTAATTGCATGTATACAAATAAAATAGCCTGTGAATAAACACTCCAAAATATACATAATGTATATCACTAAATGGAAAACTTTCAAGTGATTCTTACTTTTCTTTTTAAACCTTGTCAATTTTTCTCATTTTTCTCCACTAGCTTAACATATTTATAATATCAAAATAAAATAAATGTTGTAATAGACAAATTTGAAAATATGATATTAAAGAGGCATTTATTATAAAATTTTTGTAAACACAGAAATTTACATTTAAAAAATCACTGGTAATTTGACCTCTTGAGAATATATACCGGAATATAGGATTTTGCATCAGAACCTTTCCTTCACTCCCATTGTGTCAAAGAATTTCCCATGTGTCTTAATGTATAGTATATTAACCTCACTCCTAGCAATGAAAATTTTTAATATTTCCATGTTTAGAGACATGTCCAAGGAAGAAAGTGTCAAGAATTAAAAATCTGTGTAAAACCTGTGCCCTGACAATGTCAATATTGTCATCTTCATCCATCCTAGTGCTGTTGTTGTTAGGTGCTAAATTTTAAAAACTGAAAGGCTGAGTTTCCTCAGAGGCTTATTTTAGTGGTCGATTAGAGTTTAAATACAAATTAACAACAGTGTATTCTAACTTCAGAGATTCCCACCTGTGATTCCCAACCTAATTCACCCTCTCATTCTAAACTGTGTTCTCCTCCAGAATCTCCACTGAGCAAGATGTCTCCTATTCTGACTCTGATCCTCAGAATCCAGAAGTCTCTGTGAAGTGCCCCTGTCCCCTGCTGTGCTGGAATCTGTACAAAGACAGACAAACATCCACTCCATCCCTAACACTGAAGCATAAGACAGGGCCACCGACTCAGAGTCATGTGGACAGGACTGGCAGAAAAAGGAACAATAAGATTTTGTATCTCCTCCAACTCCAAAATAGGTCAATAAGTGGCACAAATGGTGTGTGCTCGAGTGTTAACCTAAAGGTTAGTGGTTCAAACCCATCAAGAGGTACCACAGAAGATAGCCCTTGAAATCATATTCTTCTACCCCTCCTCCTCTTCTTCCTCCTCCTCATCCTCCTCATCCTCCTTCTTCTTCTTCTTGTTAATTGCCATCCAGTCATTTCCAACTGATAGCGACCCCATGTGTTACAGCCAGGGAAACCCTATGGAGCAGTTTTACTCTGTAATACATAGGGTCCATGAGTCAGACTAATAACAACCTACAACAAACAACAACCAAGTCCAAAGGTCAATGAATCTTAGGGTCAGAGAGAGCACAAGTGCACACAATACATAACCCTTAGAGATACTGGGTGGAATCATATAAATTGCTATTGTTGAGGTTTAAAAAAAAAAAAAAAAAAGTTGAATATCAACAATTTCACTTATAGGTGGTTCAACCTGTACATGGTGGCAGGGTATACTACGTGTTCCGTCTGTTAGAAGTTATTGATGCCAAATTTTCCCCTCTAATCAATCTGATGAGAATTCTGGGAAATGTGGCATTTCAGAACTTACTTAAATGAGAAAAGAAAGATAACCTTAAGTATTTGGTATCCTATTTAGAAAGAAAAGAGAGAGAGATTTCTGCTTTGAGGAAGCTGAGAGGCAGGCAAGGAATAAATTAAAGGAAACACTAAGAGTTTGTGTATTTCTAAAATGGGGAGATAGGGCTGGGCAATCTACTTCTGTAGTGATACTGCCTCGGAAACCCAAGGAGGGGTCGTTATGAGTTGGGTCCGACTCGACAGCACTTAACAACAACAACAACAATGGCTAGGGATGTGACCATATAACTGAGTGAGGGTATTTCAATATTTTCATACATCCCACTCCTCTCCTTGCCCAGCTAACCCACCTGGCTGAATGGAGAGAGCTAACCGCACACTTGTCACTGAATTTGTCTTCCTGAGATTTTCTAACTCCCCACATCTCCAGTTGCTCTTCTTCTCCCTCTTCCTCCTTATCTACCTCTTGTCTCTCATGGGCAATGCACTCATTGTCCTCATCGTGGTCCTAGATGGGCACCTCCACACTCCCATGTACTTCTTCATTGGCAACCTCTCCCTGGTGGAAATCTGGTACACCACAGTCACTGTGCCCAAGATGCTGGCCAATTTTCTAAGCCCCCAAGGGGTCATCTCAGTTTCCAGCTGCATCGCCCAATACTACTTCTTCTTCTCCTTAGCTGCCACTGAGCTCTTCATCCTCACCACCATGGCCTTTGACCGCTACGCTGCCATCTGCCGCCCACTCCACTACCCACTGCTGCTCAGCCCTCAAATTTGTGGGATTCTGGCGGGGGTCTGCTGGTCCATGGGATTTGTCTGCCCCATGTTCCCCTCATTCCTCCTTGCACAAATCTCTTTCTGCACGCCCAACCAGATCAACCACTTCTTCTGTGATGCTGACCAGATTTTTCGTCTTTCCTGCACAGACACATACGCCATCCAAGCGGTGGGCTATGCTTTCAGCACTGTCATTATCCTAGGAGCCCTGGTCTTTACCATGGCTTCTTATGCACTAATCCTGGCCACAATTCTAGCCATGGCCTCAGTTGCAGCACAACGCAAGGCCTTCTCCACCTGTACAGCTCACCTGTCCGTGGTCACCATCTATTTTGGCACTCTCATATTCATGTATGTCTGCCCAGCAGTAAAATATGTGTCAAATATCAACAAGATTGTTGCCATCTTCTACTCAGTCATCACCCCACTTCTTAATCCTCTCATCTATACACTCCGCAACAAGGATGTCAAGGAGGCTTTGAAGGTGTTGTCATCCCAGATCCAAAGAGTTTGCCCCACAAGCAGAAGGCTTCAGTGATGATGTCATATGAGAAGCCAGAAGAAACAATGCTAGTGGAATATTAAAATGGAAAATCACCTTTAATCATTGCTTTTCCCCTGAATTGTGTAGCTGTGTATATACATGCAAATTGCCTCTTCGATACATGAGATTATTTGTGTTTTTATATTTTTTTATTGTGGTAAATATATAGGTTAAAAAAATTTTTCACTTCAACAATCTTCATAGGTATAGTTCAATGACATTATTTATGTTCATCATTTTGTTCAGCCATTATCCTGAACTATTCCCAATTTTTTCCATCACCCTTAAGAGGAGCTCAGTGTCTCTTAAGCATTGTATATTCCAGCATTAGTTCATATTTTTTATGTTTAATCTATTTTTCAAAATTATATGTAATCTCAATGTGATTATCTACAACACATTTTAAATGAAAGAATTGTTACTCCTTCCACTCAGTGTATTCATGTGCTATCTGTCTCTACAGTTGTTCAGCTTTTGCTGAGCATAAGGGAGTGGATAACGTCATGTTAATATTGGTGTATGGAAATGGTTTAGGCTTTGTAGTCCATGCATATGGATTAGAAAGTCAAGACTGCCACTTACTAGCATCACTTGGGTAAGCCCAGAAGCCAATGAGAGCTCCGCACAGGTAACCAGAGCAATAGAACCTTTTAACCTCCCTCAGAGGGTTACTCTGACGTTCAATTGGCTTAATAACATATCAAAAAAAAAAAAAAACTCACTGCCATCGAGTCGGATCTGACTCATAGCGATCCCTCCTTGGGTTTCCGAGGTGATATCACCTGTTTATGCTCAAGCATCAGGGGAAGTTTGAAAAGTAAATGCTGGCTTCTATTGGAGGAAGAGGAGCTCTGGTAGTATAGTGCCTAAGGCATTTGACTGCTAACCAGAAGGCTGGAGGTTCAAACCCACCAGCCACTCTTCGGAAGGAAGACTGGGCAATCTACTTCCCTAGAGATATCGCCTCAGAAACCCAAGGTGGGGTTGCTATGAGTTGAAATGGACTATGAGTCCAGACAGACTCCACGGCAGTGAGTTTGGTGGGGGTTTTTTTGTTTTGTTTTGTTTTGGTATGTAGAAATATACAAATTATATATTGATTTTAAAGACATAAGATTGTTTTTTTAATATCTTATATAAATATCTAAATTTAAATGTCTTATTTTGAAATAAAAACTCAACTCACTGCCGTCAAGTTGGATCTGACTCTTAGCAACCCCTCCTTGGGTTTCCAAGACGGTCTCACTATGGAAGCAGCTTGCCCAATCTTTCTTCTGAGAAGTGGTTGGGGGGTTTGAACCTCCAGCCTTCTGGTTAGTAATCAAATGCCTTAGGCACTATGCCACTAGAGCACCTGTATTTAGAAATAAGATATCTTAAAAATTATGACAATTAAGCAAAATAACACTTTTGTCATAAGGTTTTTGTCATTTGTCCAGAGCTTAAATCTTTTTATGGTTTAACCTGAAAATAGACACCAGATTAGTTTAGATGTAGTAGCATAGTGCCTAAGGCACTTGACTGCTAACCAGAAGGCTGGTGGTTCAAACCCACCAGCCACTCCTCGGAAGGAAAATGGGGAATCTACTTCTGTAGTGATAGTGCCTCGGAACCCCAAGGAGGGGTCGCTATGAGTCAGGTCCGACTTGATGGCAAATAACAACAGTTTAGGCCCTGGTTTAGGAGAAGTGACCTGCCTGAAATTCAGCTACTGTTGTACCTGGAGTTTCCTGGTCCCCTATGCCTTCCTAGAAATAATGGTTCTCAGTCCTGATATTGTTCTGTTTTCTCATGAGGTTATTTTAAAAGTGCATGATATGTTCATGATATAACTGAAGACAACCCCTTACTACCAGTGGAATAACAAGTCTGGAGAAGTGGGAACCGTCTGCATAAAGGGAGTGCATTGCCTGTAGAGAATTTTAAAATAACAATAAAACCAACTAAAGTCACCCTGCTTTTTATTATTAGCATGTTCTGGCAATTCTAAAGAATGTTGCTGATAAAATATTCCTCTCTATCCCCTCCAGAAAGTTTTTCTGTTGTTAATCTAAGTTCTAAATAATTGCTGCAGTTACTGTTGTGTTTTAATGAAGCTTCTATAAGTTTAAGGTTGGCACATTTTTAATTTAAACTGTAATAAACGTTGTACCCACAGGTACTGTTAATACTACTGTGGTTTGTTGTCAAATTCTACATGGAAGTTAATTCAGAGAACGCCTTCTTCTATACATAATTCGTGCCTGACAGACCCAGCTGCCACCTGAGTTTAGACTAATTTTGTAACAATTTGGGATATCCAGTTCATTTCAGGACATTATAGTTTGTTTCTTTAATCTGTGTGATACCAAAAATGTCCTACTTTTAAAACAGTAAATCCAAATAATAATAGCATAGCTATTATAAGGACAGACTTTTTGTCTGTCTTTACAGGTATTGTAAAGAAACAGACTTAACTAACTTCAGTTTCATTCTCTGTGGCCACTTGAATTCTTATTTTTATTAAAATTTAAATTAACGAAATCATGTGAAATGTGAAGCGTAAGGTTTTTTATTTGGTAAGTGCAACATTTAGTTGCTACATGAAACCTTTTACTGAATGTTGTTGTTGTTATGTGCCGTCGAGTCGGCCCCAACTCATAGCTACCCCTCCTTGGGTTTCCAAGGCAGTATCTCTACGGATGTAGATTGACCAACCTTCCTTCCAAGGAGTGGCTGGTGGATTTAAACCGCCAGCCTTCTGGTTAGCAGTCAAGTGCCTTAGGCACTACGTTACCAGAGCTCCTTCTTACTGAATAATACCTTTAAAATTGAAATGTATTCTTTTTAATTATTCTTTTTTTTTTAATTTTGATTAAGCTGAAATAAATTATTCGTTATGCCAACAGATTAACATGTAGGTACAAGATTTTCCTTTTCACCAAAAAAATATATGATTGAAATTTTAAAGTACTATTTCTTACCATCTTCCTTTGTTGTACTATTATTTATTTTATTTTTTATAAAGTTTTTGTTTGATATGAATACATATTCAAAATTTCAGTAAGAGAACAATTTCACTTCCTGAACTTCTTTCATGGCCATTAGGATTATCCACTTCATTTTATGATTATTACTAAAAATAATTTTTCATAGGAGTCCCAAAATAATTATCCATGCTAGGAATACTACGGGAGCTCTGGTAGCATAGTGCCTAAGGCACTTGACTGCTAAATAGAAGACTGGCGGTTCAAACCCACCAGCCACTCCTCGGAAGGAAGGTTGGGCAATCTACTTCCGTAGTGATACCGCCTCGGAAACCCAAGGAGGGGTTGCTATGAGTCGGGTCCAACCCCACGGCACATAACAACAACAACATCAGGAGTACTATAAACTTGCTCAGCTGTGTGTGCAAGACTTTATTGCAAAGCAAAGACAGTGTCCAAAAGGAGAGTATAAGAAGAAAACAAATAAAAGAACCACTGCTATCTACAGAACCTAAAACAATGCAGATAATCCCTGTGCCATCCGTTAGCAAAATAAAATGTTCCTTTAAACAGTTCTTTCCACACTGTAGCCCAGATGCGTATGTGCAGTACAATAACCAAAAAAAAAAAAAAAACTCACTGCCATTGAGTCAATTCTGACTCAGTATCTTTACAGAACTAGATTGTCCCATCTTCCTTCTGCGGAGCAGCTAGTGGGTTTGAACTGCCAACCTTCTGGTTAACAGTCAAGGGCCTTAGGCACAAAGACAAAGATTTTATTTATAAAGATATTGATAGTAAAAAGTAACAATAATGAAAACTAAAGAGAAGAAAATGATTTATTTGACTTACATCAGAACTAACTTACAATGAGTCCTCAGAACAGAACCTCATCATAAACTGGGGACTAATTTTATTCCCTCCTTGTTTACTCTGACTAGATATGTATTAGACATATCTCTTGCCTTTTCTATTTTCCATCTTTTTTTCCTCCTATGTTGCATTCTGACTAATTTCTTCAAATATATATTCCAGTTCATTAATTTCAAGTAAAATTTTTTTTAAAAAATCTATTTAAATGCTCTATTGCTTTTTAATTTAATTTTAAAATGTTTAATTTTATTATATATTTATTTCTAAATTCCTATTTATAACTGGCATTGTATTTCTTTTGCTTGTATATTTTTGTAAGCCCTTTATTTCTTTAAGTATTTCACACATAGGTATATATGCTCTGAATCAAATAGTTCAACTTTCTGGTTACCAGTCAAACGCCTTAGGCACCATGCCACTAGAGCTCCTTTTGCAGTACAATAGGCTGCATCATTTTAACATAAGTTAAGGATTCTCATTTGAACTATCTGGTTTTTCAGAACCTTGATAAACAATGAAAATGACTCACTTCCAGCCACGCACCGATCAACATACAATCCTCAACAAGGAACCCACAATGTAGCATCACTGTTGGGTGCATGAACAACTACCAGAGGCAGAGTTCCCTGAGGGCTGGCCAGCTCTATCAACAGTCAGCAGCAGTTTTAATACTACAATTCTTGAAGTAATAATGAGCATAAACAATTTAGATATCTAAAACAACTGTAATGTGGTATGAAGATGGTATTTTTTAATTGATGGCAATTAATGACTTAATGATTAAGAGAATCACTAAATTTAAATAACAAAGATGTTATTTTCCCCCTTTCAAGCTCATGAACCCTTGGATCTTTCTTAGACTGAGGTGTGAGAGCAAAAAGAAACTATGATTTCTGTCAGATTATCATAACCATGATTAACACACATACTCCATATAATCTGACAGAGCTGGTTTCAAATTTCAGATTTTCTAGTTATTAGTTGTATTATTTTCTCCAAGTGTCTTAATCTCAATTTCCTCATTTTAAAATAGGGCTTCAGTAGGAATTTTTGAATTGTAAGAAGTAAATGACAAAATGTTTCAAAACACACAGCACATTCTGTTGGGCACAGAGCAGTCACTCAAATATTCACTAAAATAGTTATAATTTGCTC